CGGGTGGAAAACCGTCGGGTCCTGGCTGTGGCTGTAACTCATTATGACGCCTAAGGTGAAGTGGTGTCCCGGGCGGGCTTTCGGGGTGCCTAACCCTCAGGAATTCACCCTGGTCTTTCGCCCGGAGGAAGTAACTCCGTGGTTATAAGTGGCAAAGTGTCTCCGGGGTAAAATCCGGAAGAACTTGTCAAACCCCACAACACACGGATAGATGTTCACACTATTTGATCAAATATAATTAAACAATATGTAATGAGCATAGATAATATATAGAGGATAGGCTATTCCTATACCTACAACCCACAGGTTCGCATGCCAGAAGAGCCCCAGACTAACATTGGTTATGGTAATCTGGTTTATCAATGGTTACGTTATCCTGTTATCTTGTCAATTTTTGACTTACGAAACTGGTACGAAGCTACGATATGACGAAATTTGATTTATTAAACACTAGCAACGGTGTAACTCGCTGTAAGTCAATACCCTAGGTCGGTGAAACTCGCTGTATATGAATACCCTAGGTAGCTGAAAATCGTTTTAAGTGAATTTCCTAGGTCGGAAAGAGGACTTTAGAATACAGCAGTTAGAACTGTGACAAAAGTTAAATAATTTGAATATTCAAATAATTGACAATTAAAAAAGGCACGAAATTTGAATATTCAAAATGACAATTTAAAAAGGCACGAAATTTGAATGATTGATGAACGAAAAGTGATAACTGTTGAACCACATTGGACCATCCTACTACCACCGTGGTTTCTTGGGTGCTCTCTGGACACGCGAATATTTGTTGAATGGCCTATCCTCTATATATTATCTATGGTAATGAGGTAAAAAAGGTCGAATATCAAGTTATCAACCGTTAAATTTTATGTACTCCACTCAGACAGTCAAATCACCATCCAGAAACTCGTTTAACAGAGTCTGGTTGCGATCATCGTCGCTCGGTAGACCAGGCCTCAACTTGCAGCCGTCACCACCAGCCATCCCTCACGCAAAAGTGATTTAGACCAAATTCATCATTGTGGAGATAAGAGAAGAGGAAATGTTGAAAACAGGATTACACCTGTTATCAAAATAACCTACTTCTGATAATTCTAAAACACCGGCCAATATTTATAGCGCACACCAATCACTTGATCCTAGCAGTACGCTTAACAAGAGTAACTGAAATTAGCTTTTTATCTGCCCGAAACTTCAGTCGGAATACGCCAAACTCGAGATTTAATCTTTATAACATTCTATAATAATGATGAACTCTAGAAAACTGCTCTAGATGGCTGGAAAATTGGCAACTAACGTAGTTAACAGACATGTCTTAGTTAAGTAAAAAAACAGAGCCATCTAGCATCGTCTGTTGGCGTAACTAAAACGATTTCCAATTGGTCGTTAAACAGATGACGTAGTAGAAAATATTTATTCATAATAAACAAGTTTAATTATTGCGTCATTGTGATCAATATTGTTATATTTCAATATTTTTTAAAGAAAAATTTAAAATGGGAACATCAAAATAAATATGTAATGTTTACTTGTTTATAAATTACCTGCATATAAAATGTTTGCCACTAAAATAATTTCTCAATTTTTTTTTCTATTTATTACCATAATAATATCACATTTATAACTTTATTAAATTCTCAGAAAATTATAATTGTACAAAATAATCTGAATAAACTATAAATTGTGTAAAGCAAATATCAAAATTTGACAGAATTGATTTTATAGTTAAAAAATGTAATTAGTATAAACTTTAAATTTGATATGTTATGTATTTTTTTTTTTTTTTTATTTATATTGATGACATTTTTGTATGAGAATCAAAAAGCCTGAAACTTAAGTAAAAAGTTCTTAGTTCTTAAATGATACTTAAAAGTTAAAAGTATTAAATAAATAAGTTCAGTTTTTTTTTAGACTGTTAAAATTAAAATGTCGACAAGATTTGATTTTTTAAATAAAAAATAACGTGATTTTTTGTATAACGTAATATTTTCTATACACAATAAAATTTAAAAAATATTTAAAATATTTTATTTTAAGCTGTTTATGAACCTACTCATACTATTCAACTATATGTTAGCATTGAATTATTTGACTTAAATAACATAATAATAAAATAACAATAATTTATTAATAATTTTAATTCATTAAAAAACTATAATAATATAATCTATGCAATGTTTTTGTCAAGCTAGTGCACTAATAGAAAAATAAAATACTTATAATATAAATATGTTGTAAATAATCGATGTCACACCAGCCCCTCCAGTTTTCAACTTTATGAAACAAATTAACTCATCAATTTGTACGTACATATTTGTAAGGCAAATCCAGAGTTCAAAGTGATAGAAAATAAGATGTTGGGCTAGCATGACGTAAGTTAGGTTAGAAAATTATTCTAACAGGGTTTTCCTCGAATGTTTTTAATAATTTATTATGAAAATTATAGACACTTTTAAAATTATAGACATACAAGTTGCGCCATCTATTTGTATTATATGAAAACTATAATATTTAATTTTTTGGCTTAAATTTTATTCATAGCTACACTATTAAAAACTATAATAATATAGCTATATCCAATCTATTTGATACTATAAATTTATCACTAAAAAAATAAGAAACTACAAATGTTTAATTAAACATAGCATAAAAATAACAAATATTTTGAAACTTGTAGCAAATCTATTAAATATTAATTTAAAATTTGGTTAAATTTTGATTCTCTTTGGTTTAATAAGATTTTAATTTTTATAGCAACTATTTTTACATTATATATTTTAACAAAGTAAACATTGAACTAATAAAGAACTTGAAAATATGATATTATAAATTTATTTTAAATACATAGGTATTGAAGAGTAAATATTGGGGATTTTTTACTTTAAACCATTTACAATTTCAGTTTATCCTTTAAAATAACAAAATTAGCTACTATAAACCATCATTGAGGTAAACAAGACTAGATAAATCAATTTCTATTTTGATTATATTGTAAAAATGTTCAAAGTAGTTTTTATAAAATATATAGTATAATACATAAAATTTACTTATTTTTGTAAGCTTGATTGAGTTTATATTTGAAAATATGACATGAAGAACAAACCCATTAAATATAAAACAAATTTTATAATTTTAAACTAATAGATTATAATGATATTCAAGGGCATCTTCTTTGTAGCCACTCACAATAGATGAATCATTAATAATAAATGCTAATAAGTTGTGCTGTTTTCTATAGTTGGTAATTATTCTAACATAGGTATTTATATTATACACTTTTTAAATTAAACTGAACTAGAATAAGTAAATAGTAGAGTCTATAATAAATTATTTTGAAAATTTTTATGGCTTGATTGATTTAATAACTTAAATGTCACCTTACATTTCACTAATAAAAGTACCAATTATTGTAGCATCATTATATCTGTGTCCTTGATAAGTTTTTCAAGGAGTATAAGAGAAAAAAAATTAAAAATCTACTTTTACCTGACTATGGTATAAGAAATAAATGTAATTTGATACATTAAATAATTTATTTTCCACTCTATTAACCATAACATTAACTTATCAGATAAAATTGACTACGATACTTGTTGATTGTTGTCATATTATTCTAAATAGGATAATTTAAATCTAAACATGGTTAAAAATCTAACCCTAATGTAGTATATGGAAAGAAATAATTAGTTATAACTATTGTTATTCTTTAACAAAACAATCTAATAGTCATTTTGTCCTGCACCAATATCTCTCCTTTAATATGTACCTTTTAAATATTATAATCACTGTAATTTATTAAGAGCTGCTAAACTTCGTTACAGTAAAAATAAATATAGTTATTTACTAATAACTTAAAATAGTTATCAAATTTAATATTTATAACCCGATATTTTTCTAACTATGAATATATTAAATCCCAAAAATTAATTTTAATCATAGTGTTATAAAATCTAAATTTTAAACTAAAATGAAACTATTTTTAATTTAATATTTTACATTATAAAATGCAAAGCAAACTTAGAAAAATGTTTGTCAATTACCAACATTGAAGAAATTTTTAAAAATAATTAAATTGACTTATTATTGCTGTTTAAATATCCAATTTTTGATAATTTAGTATTACTTGTAAGTTATGTTCTATATGTGTTGGATTAACACAATTTATTAAGTCAGAAATTAATATACCTTTACATTTATAGACAAATTTAATTTTCTTATTAATTCAAGAAATATTTATTGTACCATTATAACTTATTGCAATTTTTTAACATTGGGTTATCTGTCCATAACTTTAAAACCATTATTTTACATTATTAACTAGAAAATTATAAATTAATAATATTGGTACTAATACTAGCATTTGAAAAATCAAGATTTACCAAAAACCTTAAAACTTGCTGTACATTAATTTACTAATTTAATAAATAGTAAATGGATAAGTAAATAGTTCTTATCAAAAGAAAAAGTTTATGGCTAAATAAAAAGTTATATTTAAATATTAAAAACATTTATACTTTATTCAGACAATAATTATATATATTAATCTTATCTAAAATCTAAATTTTGTATTACTCTACAAATATTATAATATAATAAATTTTATTAATATACATAGTATTAACATTAACAATTAGTTGATAGTAGTAATTATTAAAAAATTAAAAAACAGTTATTTATGTATTTAAAATTACTATATATTTTTAAATAAAAAATAAGTTAAACAAATTTAGTTTTAATTAAAAATTAAAAAATATCTAATATAAAAACATGTGTATTTTAAATAAATTGTAGCCATTATTTTATTATTGTAGTCTTAATATAAAATAAAAATGTAATCAAATATGTAATTACCATTTATGGTTTTTTTAAAGTAGGTATTGATTTTTTTACTCATATTATTCATTATAAATTAAAATAAGTACTTAGAGATATAATAAAAATATTTAAACATTATAATATTGCATATTATGTAATATTTATCAAAAAATAATAACATGCAAAAGGATGTTTTATTTTATAATGAATTATAAGGTTTTACTTAATACTATGATAAGTTATTTTCATTTCTAATTTGTGATTTCTTAAGCTGGAGAGTTTTCATGAATAAAAATAGGCTCATTAAGCATTTGATTTTCTTTGTCTAATTTACACTCCAATAATACATCATATTTATTGTCTTTGATTGCTTCTGTATCTTGGTCTCCATTAGCAAAAGAAAATGCTGAATATTCTGATGTATCTATACCATTCATCAATAATTTTTCTTCTGTTTCAAGGACTTTATCTTTAAGTTCCAAATATTTTATTTGAACATCTTGCAATTCTTGTTTTCTAATCATCAATTGTTTAACTTTTGATATTAGTCTACAATTTTTTCGTTGAAGTAGTTTTAATCTTTGTATGAATTTACTAGCTAAAAAGTGTTTGACCGGAACTTTATTTCGATTGTTATTAGTGTTAGTCCAACAAGCTGGTGTTGTGTTCATTTTCTTTTTGGGAATACATGTTTTCTTCGACGCCTTTCCTCTATTGGAAGATGTACTAACTGTCTTGTCTAAATTAATAACTGTAGGCTTTGATGATCGAGTACGACTTCCAATTTGGTTATTGGAAGAGTTATTTGAGAAACTTCTAGTAAAACTTCTGAATGTCAATATTTTTCTCTGGGTTGGTATAGTATTCACTATAGGTGCGTCATTTTCTGTTGAATCATCATCACTATCATCAGAGCTAATTAAATTTATGTAAGTTATATTTTCATTAGTTAAATTACCAGAATTACAGTTATTAGTTAACATTTCATCAAGATTTTGTTGCTACTTTTAATTGTACTTATTTGTACTTTTATAACAGTAAATTTAAATTTTCTTGTATATTTAAATGTTTTGGTAGACAGTGTAATAATTTCAAATATTACCTTAGGATATCATGTAGTTGATAATCTGATTTTAACAACTAGGAGGTATATTATTCTCAGAAACATTTATAGTATTGTTTTATATTGCCTTTAAATCCATATCTTGAAAGAATTGCGTATTGATGAAGTTTTAAATTTCTATTTTTCACAAAATTTTGTTTTGAAAAATGAGTATTTCATATGTATATACTCATTTGGTACAATTCTTCTATATTCCAACGCAGTTATCCAGCATTACAGTAATTGTTTAATTTGAAATGAAAACCTTGAAATAAAATATTACATTAAACTAGAGTATTGAATTAAACAAAATTGTTTTTGAAAAAATATATATTATATTTATTTACATATTAAATTGTTTGAAAAATTAATTGTCTTTCAAATTTGATCTAACTTACACTCTTTCATGACCACTAAATTACTCAGACACTCTACAATATATCAAGTCCATTAACTCACTGATACAATTATCCCCGACTTAAAATAATAATAGTTTTATACTAGAATCTTTCTAGTTAAATGAGAGCAACAGAAGTTAGCTTTTAACTTCATAATTATGATCCAAAAAAAAAAAAATAGTCAACAAATTCTTGTTTCCAACAAATAAAATATCTAGATATTATACAATTTATATTAAATTAAAATCTAACTTAGGGTCTACTACCATTCTACATAAATAAAAGTAAAATGGCCAAAAATCAAAATTATACTTCTTTTTCAACCTATTTCCAAGTCCAAACTTAAAATTAAATATAAAATATTTCTGTACAAAACTATCAATAGATTGCTTTGATTCTGGTATTTTGGATGTTAACAGAGTCATCTCGACTACCACTGTTTTATTTTACAGGTAAACATATTATATTTTTGAAATTAAATTAACATTTAGTTTTATATCTATAAATATTGATAATTGTCTTATGCATGAAAGATCATATTTTAAGAAAGGTTTAACCAACTTAGTTTGTTTTTTTGTTTTGTGTTCGTATGAATTTTCAGGACAAGATTTGTATGAAAAATTTTTTTTGGAAAATCGGTAATTTGATACAAAAAAATATAATAATTCATAACATTTTTTTTTTATCCATATAACTAAAGCAACATGCAAATAAAGAAAAAGTATTGTTGAATTACCCAGATTTACTTTTTGACATCAAATTTAGAGTTTGCGCGTAAACCAGTTGTTTATTTATGAGTCAGTGATATTTTGCTATGTTATAAATTAGTTTATAGTAAGTTCTTTATTTAGAAAAAATGCCGTTAGTAAAGCATTGAAATATTGGTCAGCATACCCATAAAGCAAAATTTTTACAATTGCTGATTGAAGCAAAACTAACCTAAGTGAGTCTTGGTATCATACAACACAGAATGACAGATCATTAATAGACTACTGTATCTAAAAGTTTTTTTTAAATTCTATACATGATATGGCGAACATTCATGAAGAATGTTTAACAGCATGAAGCGATATTAGCATATCAAAATATTGGTTACAGGTTTATAAAAAAGAAATTAAATGGTTTAAGTATGTGAAAGTTTAAGACCCATATTTTAAAATAAACAATAGACAATTTGTTTTGAAAAAAACGCATGGCTAAGTTTAAAGAGCTATAAATGTTAAAAGAGTTACAATATACTAATTATAAAATATTATTGTACCTGTTCCTATTTTTTTTAATCAGTTTGGATGAATAGAATGAAAAATTGCATTCTTGGTCAACTCACTAGAAAATAGAGAACGAAAGACGACGCTCTGGAATGTCTAAATCGAAATAATCGAACACGAAATGATTTGTTAGGATTTTAGAGATAGTATAAATAAATAGATTATTGTTTGTATCATACCATACCAATCTTGTGTTTATTAATTTAAATCACTATCTAATATTTTTATAAATTAGAGATAGTAAATACACATTACACAAGTCGTTCAATTTACCTGTGAGTTGATGTAACATGTAAGTTCAAAATTGATCAAGTTGATGTGAGACGTGAGTTGATACGACAGAAGATTCATATCGACCAACATGGAGACTATAATAGTACGTGATAGTCCTATACTATTATTACTATTGTATGATAGATAATACAATCGACAGATCGAAGTTTTCGCAACCAGATCATTGTTTATTCCACAGTTAGGTGGAAACTTAACCGTGGTTTATTTTTATGATTATACCATGATTTCGGGAAAAGTATCTGATAGTATCAACTATCAATAGTATGCATCAAACTAATCCACTAATCACTATTCAGTATTCACTATACCATTGGTAGACGGAAAAAAAATCCCCGGAAAAAATGTCCTCAAAAAAAAGTACCTGTGAATAAAATCAAATAAAAAACTTAATTGAAACTAATTATTTAAGTAATTTGTAATTATTACTTTCATACAAGTTATACTATATATTGATTCAGTTTATATAAGTAATACTTTGTGTCGAACAGGAACTGATAACGATTTAAGTACCTATTCGATTTCGTCGACTTCCTCCTCGAATCTCTCCTCTAACGTGGAATGTGCACCGAAGTACCTTATTAAATAGTAGTAGAACCAACAACATCTGTGACGTATGGAATAATAAGTTCAGTCGTTTGGTTGGGTATAAAAAAATATGAAAAACGAGGTGATGGCTGATAAGCTAAATTAATATTGAGCGAAATTGAACAATTAACTTACAAACTATCACATAAAGGATATATAATCCAGACTTAGCTAAAAAAATTATGCGAACAATTTACTAGGAGAGAATTGAGTATTGATGTATTCCTATCTAATATAGCCTATAGGTCAGGGGTCGGAAACCTTTTCATAGAAAAGAGCCATTTTTTTCAAAAAATTAGTAATGATTAAATCTTTAAAAGACGTGAAATAATATGGAAACTAAGTAAAATGCCATTTTTGATTTTATAATATTATAAATACCTAAGATCAATATTTTAATGTTAAATACTTAGTCAACATATTGTTTAGTTTTAATAACAGGTATTCTAATAATATAAATGGAACCATTGCCAATATTTAAGTACCCTTTTACGACGAAGCATTTTTATAAAAAGATCTATAAAAATAAATTCAGTTTAGAAATTACAAAATACTATATTATTAATATATTGTAATATAATATAATATTATTTCATTAGAACCTAAATAAAATGTTATACTTTAGAAAATGTAAAAATAATAACTGAAACAGATACTCCTGGCAACGTATTTTTAGATACATAAATTATATAAACAGAAATTGAGGTCTTAGTAATGTATCTTTTGATTATATTTTAAATACATATAAAATAAACATTATTGTATATATCATCAAAACTATACATAAAATGATAATTACACTTTCCCTTAACTTAAATAATGCAAATTGCAGTCTTCTTATGCATTAATATTCGATGTAGTAGCAGTTGAAATTGGTGTTTTTGAACCCTAATCAATAGCTTAAAAATGACAACAGATAACAACGAATTTCCAAATAATCATATCAGGTTATCATAGTTCAACTTATGATACAGGACTAAGATATATACTCTTAGTCCTGATGATACATATAAGGATATTTTACAGTAAATAAATATAAAAATAAAATATGTTACTTTTGTTACCATAATTGTTTCAAAGTGGTATCCAAAAGATACAACGCCAAGTTAAGGGTT